AAACTCGCAGTGAATTTGTTCTAAAGATCTAAAGACTCATATTTTGATAAAACAATCGAGTTCATCCGTTTTGGGCAAGTGGTGAATTCTTGAGTGTCGTGGTACAAAAACTACCAGAACTTTTCAATTGGAGGAAGAAATCAACTCATTTTTTTTAGGTTGATGCACTAATCATTTATTCACAATGTTGTGCTCTTTGTAAAATCTTGTAGCATTCATAGTTTTTGCGAAAAAAATATTTCTGTTTCCTTGCCAGTTAACAATGTTAGACATTAACTGCAAATATCGTGATACGAGGTATAAAATCATTGTCAATCTCACAAATTCGTTTTGAATGACCTTTTCTAATGAAGAAGTGACCGACATGGTCAAAGTATTATGGTTTTGCGAAGACAATTTGCGTGAAAGCGTACGCGTTTACCCGGCGCATATTTGCAGTAAATGTATAGCATTGCTACGTGACTAGAAAACAGACATATTTTTTTTACGCAAAAACTATGTATGCTACAAGATTTTACAAAGAGCACAAAATTGTGAACAAATGATTAGTGCGTCAACCTAAAAAAATGAGTTGATTTCATCCTCCAACTAAAAAGTTCTGGTAGTTTTTGTACCACGACACTTAAAAATTCACCACTTGTCCAAAACGGCTGAACTCGATTGTTTCATCAAAATATGAGTCTTACATAAGAACAAATTCACAGAGAGTTTCACTAAAATACATCGTATCATTCTCCCGATATTTGGAAAAAGATAATTTTTTTGAAGAACTTTGACCATCAATAGCAGAGGAGCCATATATTTTTTGCTAATAAAAGTTAGATCAGATCGTCTTCTTTTGATCCAAAGAATATCGCAATACCCTTTTGATCATGAGCTTACGGGAGACCCTGTATTAATCGCTTGATTTTTTTAATTAAAAATGATTTCTCAAGAGCAATTAATGCAAGATTCGAAAGGCTGAAGAGACGTTCACCTTTCAGCCGGAACGCAAAGCCGTAAAAATCAGACAATGTCAGAAAATATTTTTTTTATCAGATTCACTATAATTTAGTCTGCCTTTCCAATTTTTCGGTTCTTTGTTTACAATTACAATTGAAATTCCTCAAAGAAATGTGAAAAATTACGCAAGTTTGTACTACATTGGTTAAAGGTCAAGCTTCAATGCTTATGCTGTCTTTTTTTAAATGCCGCATATTTAGGCCATTTATAAAAGTGTTAAAAATCTCCTAGTTTGGGCAGGAAACAAGTAAATTAACAAGAATGAATGAGTCGTGTGGCTTTTTGGTAGTCCAGTGATTTAAGCCGTGAAATTAACCAAACCATAATATAAACCACTCATTACATGATTTAACAGTCAATATTAACTTGTATTTATTCAGGATCATTTATTTGTATTATAAATTGCAAACAGTTTTAATATTCTCTAGTCGTTGGCATCATTTGTTTTGAGTATGCACGAGAATGAACATATAATTAAAAGTATTCAAGATGATTTTGTTAATGAAATTTGGTCAATTCTGAATTGTTAGGAAGCGCTCGCAGCAAATAATAGCATCGTGGTTTAACCTTGGCCTGTTCATGGAAATTTACATTATCATGGATAATTGATGGTCAGTTACGAAATGCAAACTGGTGTAATACAGCGGCCTTTAAACTGAAACGCTGAATAATGATACACAATGTGATTAAATAAAAGCAAAACTTCAATACAGCTTTTTTTCGTCGCAAATAATTTCACCACAAGGAGCCGTAAATCAAGAACAGTTGGGTATTAAGACTATTATTAGACATGGAGTTTAACTGATGAGGTAATGCCCCTCCATCGTCAATTTTGAAACCGAATTACATTCCAGTTTATGAGATGTAGTTGCTTAATTTTTTACGACGCTTCTCAATCATAATGTATGT